TATAATAAATAGTTTTGTTTATTTATTTTTATAGTTATTTTTTTTTTAGTAATATATATAAATATTATTATTATTATTATTATTATAACTATTATTATAACTATTATTATAACTATTATTATTATACAAACTTTATATATATATAAATATTTATTATAATTAAAAGATAACGAAAATTTTAGTTTAACTAATTTCCAAAAAAAATAAAAAATAAAAAATAAAAAAAATTTTAAAAAATAAAATTAAAATGAAATTATTTAAAAAATAAACAAAAAAAAAAATAATAAAAAAAAATAAATAAATAAAAGAAGATAGAGTATTGTTGGATATGATATTTATTTATTAATTTAATAATATATTTTTTATTTACCAAAAGAATAAAAGCACAACACAACACAAACAAACACACAACAAATAATTATAAAAATATTAAAAAAAATAATTAAAAAATAAAATAAAAAAATAAATTATTTTTTAAATTTTTTTAAATTTTTTATTTTTTTTTTTTGAAGAGTGTTCATATTTTTTATTTTTTTGATCATTAATAAAGAAATCAAGACAAAATGGCCAACGCAGCAGCAAAGAAAAGAAAACAACAAAATGATAAAGAAATGATAAAGTTAAAGCTAATTGTAGCATGCACTACAATTCCATATATCTGCTATCGTATCTTTTATAACAAAGAGACTTTTGGTGGATGGACAATGTATGGTTACTTTTTCATTCAATTTTTAAATTTATTAGCTTTCTATTTAATCAATACAATGTGCCAACCAACTTTTGATCAATCTGGCGAACTTATTGACGGTGGTTCTGATTTAACCATGGGAGGTTTAACAGAGTAAGTAATTATATAATTAAAAAAAACAAAAAAACATTTAGTATTAATTATTTTTTTTAATTTTTAAAATATATAGGTATTACTTTGACATTATTTATGTTTGTGCTATAGTTCAATTTTTAGGTTTATTTAGTGACAAGAGTTTATATTTAGTTTTAATTGTTCCAATCTTTGCAGGTTACAAATTATGGACATCAATTATCCAACCATACTTTTTAAATAGACCAAAACAAACTGATGCTCAAGGTGATAAGAGTAAAAGAAGAGAAAAAATGGAAAAGAAAGCAGAAAAAATGAAATTTAAAAATGTTAGATAAACATTAAATACAGAAAATAATAATAATAAATAATAATAATAATAATAATAATAATAAATAATATAAAGTTTTTTTTTAAAAAAGGAAAGATGTGTATTTGTTTTGTATTTATATGTATTTTTTTTAAAAAAGTTTTTATTATCGTGTAGTTATATACATAATTATTTATTATGTAAATATTTAATTTTTTTCTTCTTCGTCGAGTTTTCTTTTTTTTAATACTGATTCACTAGTTTCATCTTCTTCTGCAGTGGTGGTGGTGGTACTGTTTATAACTTGTTTTTCAATATCTAATGGATCTGATGATGGTGGTGTAGTTGTTGTGGTATTGGTTGTTGTGGTTGTAGTTGTTGATGCTATTGTTGGTTTTGTGATATTATTAACTTTAATACCAGATAATAAATAACCACTGGCACCGTCCATACCCATGGTTGGATGGGTTCTTTTTGGTAATACTTGATATTCTCTCATCCAAATTTCAGAGATTTGTTGATTAATTGCCATTTGATTACTGTGAAGGAATTGGTGACATTCGATTAATGGTTGTGGGAATTGTGAAAAGATTACAAAGTTACCACTGGCATTCAAATATGGCCAGCATGCTAATAATATATTTAATGGTGAATATTTAGTGACGATAACTAATGACCAGGTACCATCGTTTAATAATTTTGAAATGTTATTGGTTGAAGTATCATTCTTTTGATTTGTAATTGCTTCTTCACCATTTTCTTGGTCGTCTTGATCCTCTTTATTATTATCTTGTCTTTTATTTTTATTTTTTGAATCTAAACCTACAGTTGGGTTTATAATTTCTGAAATATCTTCTTTTTTGTTTAATTTATTTATTAAATTTATATTGAATGGATAAATAGTATTTAAAACATCAGATTGGAAACCAAAATTATTTACAATTGATAATGATGCACCTTTACCAATAAATCCAGATAAAATTGTACCTTCACCACCCATTCTTTCTGCAATTGAGCCTGTAACTAAACCCATACATGTTTCAACAACTAAAACTTGAGTACCAGATCTAATATTGGCTAAAGTTAATAATTGACCAAATGAATCGAATCTAAGATTACTAAATTTCATAAAACAAAAAAGAAAGGAATGTGATTTTTATTAGTATATAACTACTACAAAGTGAAAAGAGAATATGGAATAATAAAAATAATTACCAAATTTTTCTAGCATCTTTTTTATAATAGGCTTCAGTTAATGATTTTGAAGTTGGCTTGATAACTTTAACAATAGTTGAGTACTTCTTAATTTTCTTTTTTAAATATTTAATTTGGGAATATGCAGTTTTAGTTTGGAAACTTGAACTGTTTTCAACAATAGTTTTAATAATTGTATTTGAATCGGTACCAGATTCTTTCATCTTGGTAATTTCTTCTTGGGTTAATTTTTGTGCAGTATTGTTTTGATCGAGATTTCTATTATCGGCATCATTTTGATTTAATTCTACTAAATTATTTAATGCATCGTCTAATTCTTTTTGAGTAACTATTTTCAATGTATTGGTTTCATTTACAACTTGGAAACTGCTGAACCATGGTTTACCAATAATTTCACTGATATTGATTTGTTTTTTACCAATTCTAGTTTTTAATCCTCTTTTAACTTTGACAATTGAAAATTTTTCACCATTGTTTATATCTAAAATAACATTTTCGCCTTCATTAATCGAATTAAAATTGAAAACTTGTGATTTAGTTGTCGATACTGTAGTGGTTGGTGTTGGTGTGATGGTAGAGTTATTGCTGCTATCCAACTCCATTGGTGTGTTTGAAATAGTTGATTCCATCTTGAAAAACAAAAAAAAAAAAGTTATTTTTATACAAATTCACAAAACACCCACTTATGAAAAAAATTATCGTAAAAAATTTTAAAAAAAAAAAAAATTTAAATAAAAAAAAAAATTAAAAAATAAAAAACAAAAAAATATTTATTTTTTTTAATTAAAAAAAATATTAATTTTTTTTTTTATAATAAATTTAAACAATTATTTTATATAATCATACATATACATAAAATAAAATAATTATAATAACTTTTTTTTTTTTTTTTCATTGTAAATAAATATAAATAATAATACATATAAATTTTATATTATAAAATGAGTAATATAAAATCAATTAAACCATGTTTCAAGACAGAGGAGGGACCCTACAGACTCATTAGAGATGAAAGTTTTAGAATGGATAATAGATATTTAAGAAAATTTGTTTCAAATATTGCACCTAAAATATCATTTTATGATTTAGATTGTAATAATAATAATAATCATAATAATAATAGTAATAGCAATAGTGATAATAATAATAATGGTAATGGTAATAACAGCAACAATGATGATGATGTTAATAATAATAGTAATAATAGTAATGAGATTAGTAATGATGTTATAAAATCATCAATGGGATCATATATACCAATTGAAGAGTATGCAACACCTGGTAATCATCAAGTTTCGAATAATATAAATATAAATAAAAAAAACCAAAATAACAATAGTAATACAAAGCAAGAGGAAAAAGTTCAACTTTTTTTCACAAATAATTCCAGTTTATCATTATTTTCATTTACAAATATTGAAAAAGCAGAGCTTGTAACTAGGAATCCAATTAATTTTCAGTGTGTTTTAGTTTGTCAAAAAATTAAAAAAACAAAAAAAAATCTAGGATCTCTTTCAATTCTAATGGGCACAGATACTGGAGAAATCCTATTATTTGACCCCGAAAAATCAATCATAACCAACGCATTCAATAGAGATTTAAATCAACCCAGTTCAAATTCATCAGCAAATGGTCATAGTAATTCAAATGGTAGTAATAGTAACCAATCAAATAAAAGAAAATTAAAATGTTTATGTTTAGAATGGTTGCCTGGCTGTGACGATAAATTTATTGCCGGTTTTGATAATGGCTATTTAATGCTATTCGATATTAATATACAAACTCAAAAACAAAACTATCCTCCACAACAACAACATCAACAACATCAACAACATCAACAACAACAACAACAACAACAACAACACCATCAAAAATCTAATCCGCTCGATACATGGGAAATTTGTTTAAAGAAAAAAATAAATGCAATTTCATTTTCACCAAATGGCAGATATTTAGCAGTAGCTTGCCAAGATAGTCTATTAAGAGTTTATGAATTTGACACAAAAAATCATATAGTATCTTATGAAACTTATTTTGGTGGTGTATTATCAGTTGATTGGTCCCCAGATGGTGAATTTCTAGTTGTAAGTAATCTTTTAGCCCTCTATTTTATTATTTATTAATTATTAACCATATTCATACGATTTTAGACTGGAGGTGAGGATGATTATATTAGCATTTGGTCATTTGGCAATGGAGATTATAAACTTGTAACAAGGGGCCAGGGTCATCAATCTTGGATTGGTTGCGTAAAGTTTGATCCATTTATTTTTCCTCCTGGTTCAAACCAATATCGTATTGTCTCTGGTGGCGAAGATACAAGGTTATTACTATGGGATTTCTCAAAAGAAAGTATAAGAAAACAAAGAGGTAAAAGTTTTGTAGGTTATCTATATAATATTATTGGTTTAAAATGTATTTAAGTTATTTATTAATTCAATTTAATTTTAAAAGTCAAATAATAATAATAATAATAATAATAATAATAATAATAATAATAATAATAATAATAATATTTCAAATTCAAATTCAAATTTAAATAAAACAAGTGAGGATTCCTTATCAATTCAATTAGCATTTACTATATTTAATAATGAACAGGAAAAAAAAAAAGAGAAAGAAAAACTACAACAACAGCTGCTGCAACAACAACAACAGCATCATCAAAAAAATAATACAGTATTGGTTAAAAGTGTTTCAAGATCCATCGCACCAATCATATATCCAATAGTTTCACATCGAGCCCACTCTGACCCGGTTTGTGATTTATTATGCACCAAAGATTGGATTATCACTGTTAGTTTTAAAAATTTTAGTATTTGGGCAAGACCTATTACAGTTGCAAATGTTTGTATTAAATTTAAATTTTTATTTGTTTTTATTTATATTTATTAACTAATTTATTTTACAAAAAAAAAAAAATAGGCACAAAAAGCTGATTCTGTGATGGCAGATACACCCTCCTCTTTTACTGAACAGGTCCTAAAAATGGATAATAGCAGTTGGAAAAAATAATATTATTATTATTTGCAGTGTACAATTGTAAAAAAAAAAAAGAAAAAAAAAAGAAATAAAATAAAAATGTAAAAAAGTTTCTATTTATAATTAATATTTAAAATTATTCATATTTTTCTTATTATTTTTTTTTAAACGGTTGTAAAAACCCACCCCTTAAAAACCATATCATGATTTGATGGTGTCTTTTTTATTTACATTCCTCTTTTTACCCTAATTTTTTTAAAATAAATGAACCAATTTGTGTTCCTTAATCCAACAAAACCAACAAATCACCATTCTTTTAAAATTGTTAGAGTTGAACAATTTTTCCTAAAAAACTAAAAAGATCCTCAATTTGTTTTTAAAATTATTTTTTTTTAAAATTATTTTTTTTTTTTAAAAAAACACCAAAACGAAAAAAAAAAAAAACTAAAAATATCAACAATCACAATTTGTTTTATTATTTATATATTTTTTTATTTTGTTATGTTGAATAAAGGTTTCATTTATAGATATGAATATTAATATTTTAATATTTCTTTTAACCACATTATTTTTTAATTTTATCAAATGTCAATCTCCTGTGGAAATTCCATCTTATGAAGTAATCAAAGATTCGTATGGTTTGGGTAAATTTTAAAATCATACTTTTATTAATTAATTGTACCAAAGCAGTCTTTCTTCAATTATTATTATTATAAATTACTTTCGCATTTTCCCCCCTTTTTAAAAAAAAATTAAATTTTTATTTTTATTTTTATTTTTATTTTTATTTTTATTTTTATTTTTATTTTTATTTTTATTTTTATTTTTATTTTTATTTTTATTTTTAATATTATTTCTAAATTTAAAATTTTTATTTATTTCAATTATTAAATTTTAAATAGATGGAAAATGTAAAGTGTTTTATTCAGTGATTGTTACATCACAAAATGATGTAGGTTCAATAGATGAAATTTTTTTAGTTCATGGTGATACAATGGTCCTACTTTCATCTTCAAGCCAATTCCATATTGCTTCCGAATCTCGAAATGGAACTCACTACATTTATAACTTTATTTTAGAAGCAGATATCAAATCAACAGATACTTATAGTCCCGATAGAGTTTACTTTTTTGTTTATAAGGATAATGGAAGGGGTGGTCTTTCGTTCACATTTGGTAATGAGGATGGTAAAAGTGTAGAATATATTTGTCAAGAGCCCCCACAACAAGTAGATATTTCACAAGATTATTTCATCGATACCCCAGTTAAAGTTGAAAATCCCTTTTATGTAAAAATCAATACTGTTTTAGAAAAGCCAATTCAAATTGTAAATATTGTACCAAATTCAAATGATTATCCATTCGAACTTTCAGTATTGAGATCAGAATTAAAATTCTTTCAATTTAATTTAATATTTAATAAATACTCAACAATAACGGGTTTTACAACTATGACTTTTGATGTTTTTTATAGTACATCTCTTAAATTTACAATTAATATTGACTCTGCAGTAAATGGTATTGTATTTAATAATGATTATATAAAGAAAAGTATATTAAATTGAATAGATTACTAATATTTTGTTTTTTTTTCTTTTATTTTAGACCCAAGTAATGTTAATTTAATTACATTTGATAATCAATATCCAACAGGTATTGAATATACAACAAGAAATAATTGGGATTTAAATACATTAGCATTTTTTGATGTTAATAGTATCGATTCTAAGGTATTGTTTTATGGTCTTGCAACAGTGGATGGCACGCTCCAATTAGACAAGAATCATAGAGCTAGACTAGTTTCAGGTAATTATAATACTGGAGGTCAAGTTTTGGTAACAACATCATATTATCCAAGAGATAGATCCTCTGAGACTGAAACAACCTCAACAATCTCCACTAATTTATATGGTAAAACATCATCAACTGAATTAAAAACTATTTTAAAAAAAAATCCAAGTAGGTTTATTATTTATTGGCGATATCATTCAACAAAATACAGATTTACTAATACAATATTTAATTTTATATAGAAATTGAAAGTGGTGTAGTTGGTGCTACCTTCACAGTTGGAGACTTGGATACCACTATATTCCCAGCCTTTTTACAAAGTTTAGTTGTTTTTGAATTTTCACTAGCCTCTTTTCCAATAGATTACAGTTTTGCTATTAATTTTGGTCTTTCTAATAGTTTTAAACCCCAATATCCATATGGTTTAAAAAAGTCGGTTGCTGGCAGTCCAATAGAATATTCTGTAAGTAGAATAAAAAATTAAAAAAAATTAAAAAATTAGTTATTAACCTAAAAATAAAAGTTTCCATTCAATTTTGAAAAAGATTTAGGTGGTATTCAATTTTCAATAAAAACTGATTTAATGGATTCATTTCAATCATTTAAATCTGCTGAAAATGGTAAGGGTTTATTTAAATTATTCAATAATATTTACTTTTCATTTTAATATTAATTTTTTATTTTTAACAGATGATACACCGCCACAATTAAATAGCTTTTCAATAATATATCCAAGAGGTGGTAATGGTTTATATGCAATTTTAAAAATTAGTATAGAGGATAATTTATCTGGTTTTTCATATCTTTACTATGCCGGTAATTATATAACTGCTGCTGATATTGTATCTGGTTCAGTACTCGATGGTACCTTTGAAAAGTTAATCATTGCAAACTTTGATTTAACATGTTACTATTCAGATAGAGCTGGAAATAAAGTATTATGTCAAAATGATCCAAATTCAGGTATCGATCTATATTCGCCATTTTATTACAAAGTCTCACCAGATCTAGAAGAACTTCCAAGATTAGTTAGCGGTATGTTATTGTTTTTTATAATAGTTTTAATAAAACAAAAATTAACTTTTTAATTTATTTAGATTTTGATTTTAAAGTTTCTCAATTCGAATTTGAAAGTAATGTTTATGATGTTTCCAGTGAAGGAAGATTGGTTACCCTTGTTTTTAACTACACAAACTCTGAAGAGGATATTCCAGTTTCATTTTTTATTTTAGATAGGGTCTATGGTGACAAATATATAGATTATTATAATACTGCAAATCGTTATTTAAGAGATAAGTCTTCAAAACTATTTAAAATTTCAGTCGTTATCCCAGCTAAGTTATGTTCTGGAACCATACCATATGTATTGGTTGTAAATGGTAAAAAATATACAAATGATTACTTTTATTCATTATTTAATAATAAAGCAAATCTAAACATTGTTTCATCAGGTAAATATAAAATATATATAAATAAAAAAATAAAAAAACTTAATTTTAACCTTTTTATCTTTTCAATCAAATAGATTGTTACGAATTACCACCAATTATTACAGATTTACAATATAATGGAATTACAACATCAAATAATGCTTTGTTATCAGATCAATCTAAATCATTTGGTTGGAAAGCTAGAATCGAAACAAAGGGATATTTAAAGGAAGTTTTTATTAGTATTATTGGTAGCTTTGACAGAAAACCTCGTGTACTCGTTGAAAAATCATATAGCTTTGAAGAGAAGATAGAAAATATTTTATTGGATGTTGAAGGAGTATTTGACACAAGTAAAAAACCTCAAACTTATAAACTCTATAATATAACATTGGTCGATCAAAGAGGTTTCAAATCAGAATCTATTTATGATCAAGATATAGATTATATTACCAAAAACAGTGTCCCACAATACCCTTTACCAATTTCACCCCTTTATAAAATTACTGATCAATCATTGTTCAGTTTTTTAGTTGATTACCAACTCTCAAATATCGACACAACCTCTCCAACATTAAAATTTATCACAACTTCGGTGAATACTATTAACGTTGCAAGACCAAATAATGAACCCTTTATAGTACCATTTAATTTCCAAACCTATGATGATGTTGGAATTTCTCTTGATCACAATCCAGTTGTATATTTAGAAAGCTCACAAAATCTAGGTGATATCTCTCAAACCAGATTAGAATGCATTACAGAATACAAAGGTAGCGAAACAATTAATAACGATATAGTTCAAAACTATAAGGCAGTTTGTGATATTCCATATGGATTTGGATATCCTGGGGGCATTAGTGTTTCAGTATTTGGTATTGTAGATACAAGTTATAATACTAATGGTTATCCATCATTTTATATAAACTCACTTTTACCAACTTCAACCTATTTCCTTCAAACCACTTTTATAAGAAAACCAGTCATAGAATCCTGGATTGTTCCATCCGACACCAGTAATCAATTAACAATTTTGGGTAAAAATTTAGCTTCTGATGTTGCCAGTACTTTTGTATCAATCAGCTTTGATGGTTATGCTTATGAAAAAGTTCCAGTTACAGAATATACAAATGTTGCTTTGCTTGTCACAGTCCAAAACTACACCAATGATTTTTTAGTAAAAGTTTCTACAAGTGGTGTCGAGTCCAATGGTATCGTAATTCCAAAGCTATCTGAACCAGGATCAGAGTCATTGTCGTCCTCCTCATCAGAAATACCAATTGGTCAATGTTTAGATAATTGTGGTGGTCCAACTAGAGGCACATGTATTGATAAAATAGGATGTCGTTGTATTTCACCATATAGCGGAAGAAATTGTTTATCAGAAACTCTAAAAATCCCTAAACCACCTATTAATACCACCTCACCAGACAGTACAAACGAATTCCCAGTTAGCAATAGTAACATTAAATTAAATACCGATATTTCAATTGTTGCAATAAGAGAATTGGATATTTATGGCAATCAAATTAATAATCATAATTTTAGAGAGTGGGAATATAAAGAATTATCAGCCTCAACCTATAGCTATACCTCAAATATTATCAAAAATGGTTCTGATGTCATCTCAAATATTGTTGTAACAATGGAATGGCATGATAAAGAATCAAACATCAATTTTGCGCACCAAAATTTTACAATTAATCCATTTAGCCTCAAATATTATATAAGTGTAGATCAATATCCATTTGAAACATTTTTTAATTCTTTGGAGTTAATTATAAAGACTGCTTTCAAAAGTAATGAAAAAAATGTTTGTTCAAGTAAACAATTTGGTTTTAATGATGGATTGGACTATATGACTTTGAAAATTGGTGGTTACAGCTTTGAAGGTAAATTTATAAAAAGAGGAATCATTGATAACACAACAATTACACCATTAAGTAATAGATTATTGGTTAATTATAGTAACATAGATGTAGCATCACCAAGCGAACAATTCTCTTATATAGCAATTCAAATTCCTCATTTTAAAAATATAATAGAAATAGATCCAAACTTTGGGGTTTTACTAGATTCAAACAGGGAATCAAATAGTGGTCCAAATGCCATTTGTTCAAAAGAATCATCTTCAAAACTATCATCTTCTCAAATTGCTGGTATAGTAATAGGTTCTGTTGTTTTCTTGGTTATTGTAGCATTAATAATCTTATTTAAAGTTTCAAAATCTATTAAATGTCTAAGATTAAAAGTAATTTTATATAGAATATTTAAACGTTAAATAAATAATATTATCTTTTCATTTCATCAGTTTTTAATCAGCAAACTTTATTTAATTTTTTATTATAATGTTTTTAAGGAAAATATTCTAAACTATCGATATTGCAAATATATTAAAATATTCTTAAATCTTGCATGTACTGTTAATTATTCTTCAATTAAGCATAACTCCATTGTTAATATTCATTTTGTAATGTATTCAATATTTAAAATTAAAAATTAAAAACAAAGACCTTTGGGTCTGCGTAGTAAAGCCATGGTTATAGTGATAGTAAAAAAAAATTCATTAACTAATATCAATTGTTCGAGCTGATTCGGGAATCAAATATATTGCATTTATGAAGGTAGAATCAGTTATATTCAAGGAGCCAGGGTGTCCAATGTATAAAGGTATAGCAATGGATCCCAACATGATTTTACAGAGGGTCACTAGGAAGATGGTCTCGTTTAATCACCAGGAAGATATATGTATTAAAAAATATTGACCCTTGGGCGAGTTGAACGCCCGACCCCCCGCTTTCTGCTGTTTTCTCACATTGGAGACGAGTACAATAACCACTATGCTAAAGAGTCCCTATGAATTTACTTTGGTAAACAAGCTCTATATAGGTAAATAAACAACAAATAAATAATTATTTTATGTGTAATGAAATTGTAGTTTATTAAATTAATAAAAACCTCTTAAGTTTTAGATTGAGAACTTGAATAAATAACTAAAAAAAACTAGTTTTTTTTTTAAATTTTAATTTTTTAATTTTTTAATTTTTTTCTTGTATGTTCTCATGAGCTTTAACTATCACCCATATTCTGTGGAAAAGATTTATAAAATTATTTAAGAAGGTTTACGTCTTTAAACTATTTGTATATAATAAAAAAAAAATTTAAAAATAAATTTTATTATTTAAAAAACATTTATTATTATTTTAATAGATGTTTATTATCTAATAAAGGAAAAGTTTTTTTTATTAAAATATAAATGAAAAATATATTATATGCAGTGGGAAATGGGTGAAAAAAATTAAAAAAATTATTGTAATTATTTAAAAAGGGTATTTTTTAATATATTTCAAAATAATAATAACAAATAAATGAATGTAATATTTCTTTTATAATAAAATGTGTAAATAAATATAAATGATAATGTTCCCAATGTTTTAAGTTTAAAATGTTTTTTTTTAAATAAAAAAAAATAAAAAAAAAATATGTAATAAATAATTTTGTTTATAAATATATAAAAGATTACTAATTAAACTATAGATTGATAATTATTAATAAAAAAATAAAACTATTCATATAAAATACAATAATTTTTTTTAAAAATTATGAAGTCGAATTTCAAAAATTAATAAAAAAAATAATAAAATTAAAATAAAAGTAAATTAAAAAAAAATATTCATTTATAAATAGATAATAATAATATTTATTCATCAGAATTAAACTTATAAATTATTAAACTATATAGAAATAATATTTGAAATTAATTAATCTTTTTTTTACAATTAGCTAGGCATTCAGGATATCATTTAAGAGAGAATTTAATGAAATTTTCAAATCAAAATATAGAATAAATTATAATTCTCATTTTAAACTATTAAATAAAATAAAACCTATACAGCCATATCAAATTAAATAATATAAATTATAATAATTTAATAAAAACATTTTATTAAACAATTGAATATTTTTTATTTTTTAATTTATTTTTTTTTAAAAATTTTTAAATTTCTTTTTTTTTTTTTTTTTTTTACACTAATATACATTTAATTTTTTTTTTAAATAATTATTTATTTTTTTAAAAAAAAAATGATTCATATTTTATTAATGTGCATTTTTTTATTTATTGTTGTTGTTGCCATTTTTTATTATTGTTATGGAAAGTTCATCTTCAAGAAAAACAACCGTTGCCGTTGCCGTTGCTCTACCATTAAAGGGGAATACTGCTCACATTGTGCCTTTAATTCCGATTTCTGGGAAAAGGTACATATAGAAAGTCTACATCTTGGATACGATCATAGACACTATCGTGACAGACTACATGGTATACACTCATTTGAAAGATCTATCCTCGATGATGAACAAGTACAACAAAATCTAAGACTATACCATCAACAAACAAAACAACAATAACAACATGAACTACCATATCAACAACAAATGAACCTAGAACATCACCAGATAATGCAACTACGTCAACAACAACAACTACAAAAACAACAACTATACCAACAACAAGTACAAGAAACACAAAGACAGCAACAACATCAAAGAGTTCAACAAGAACATCTATTTTTTCAAATTCAACAACAACATCTACAACAACTACAACAACTACAACAACAAAAGCTACAAAGACTACAACAACTAAAACAACAACATTTTTTTTGGAGATTCTTTTAAGTAATTATTACTTAAAAAAAATTCTTTAGTTGATGTAATATTAGTTGTACGGAATAAAGGTGTATGGGTGCTTATTCTAGGTAGTAAGCCTATTAAAAACAAGATAGAATCAAATCAATAGAAAATTAAAAGTTATTAATGAAGAGTTCTAATTAGATCGTTCAATTCCGCTTTTTGTATTCATCCTGGTGGTAAAGAATAGTTTAGGTCAATTTATCAACTATCCAGTTTGCTTTTCTATGCCTAATGTTAATGATATGTAATATATTTAGTTTAATATTTGCTACCGGTAAAGATTTTAAGAATAGAGTTATTGATCCACGTACTGGTGAATCATTTCAAGTAGTTGTTTGTCATTAATGTGTTAAACCATCTCGTTGTGTTTGCTAAGGTAATTCACCATTCATTGCCACCGTTGGTTCTCAAAGATGATAGAATGACATGTTTCGTTATGAAGTAGTTCAGAATAAAGAAAAGTATTTGTGCAATTCCAAAAAGAGTTTTGAATATAGTTGAAATTGATAGTTTATTAAAAGCAACCCAAACAATTTTACTCCAATCATTTTTTCAAAGGTTAAATCACAATTTGCTGATGATTTATTCCCATATTCTATTTCAACTAAACCATATTTAGTAAGTATAATTATAATTATAATTTTTTAAAAAATCTAAAAAAAAAAATTGATTCTAATTTTTTTTTAATAGTCTTTAAAAGAATGGTTATCAGGTGAAAATAATGTACCAATTTTAATGAGTTTAAATCAAATTGATAATCCAGTTCAAGATTTTGATGATTTAACAGTTTCATCACCATAATAAGAAAAGAAAATGACATTTTTCGTTGATGATAACTATAATAATGAATCATCAGCTTCAGAAAATTTACAAGAAGAACATAAAGAAAAATCATCACCCAGCATCACCAATTGACTCATCATCTTAAATACAAAAAGAAAATATTCATCGTACTGGCTATGTACCAAGTTGTAAGAGCTTAAAAATATAATGAAGATGAAGATGAAAATGAACATGATCTTTTAGATATTGAAATCGATTAATATTGAAATCGAAGGTGATTAAATTATTAGTTTTGATAATTCATTCTATATTTCTTTTTAAGAAATAGATGAAGACCAAATTATTAATAAAATCGTTTCATTCTATGTTTCAATTATTAAATCGTTAAATTTAAGAAAGTCAACTTCATCATCCAAGAAACAAATCACATCTTTATCATTTGAAATAAGAATAGCTCCAGTTCTTCCACAAGCAGGGGTTAATTGAAAAGAAAAAATAGATTTTAAAGTGACATTTTCTAAAGTAAAAGCAAAAAGGGAAAGATGGAATGAAAAACTAAATTAACACCTCAGGTATTGTATGGTTTGGAACCCAGAATCAATATAAATTAATATTGAAATTTAGTTGTATTTTACTCTAATAGTACAAGATAATTTATTTGAATCTCAAGTAGAACAAGCAGTTCATTATAATAAGAATAGAAAGGAATTAGAATCAAAAAATAGTATTGTTTTAAATCTAATTAGTTTCCCAGGATTAATTCAAATGATTAGTAAAATTTTCAGGTCTTTTAAAAAAAGAAAAGAAAATACAAACAATTATTTTTATTTAAAATTTTAAATTAAATAAAATAAAAAAAATTATTACTGTATTTTTGATATTTTTAATAAAAATTATTACTACTTTATTTAATATAAAGTTTTGATATTTTTAATAAATTTTATTTTAGACAACTATTACTTTTAAGCTATAATATTATATTATTTTAATTATTTAAACCAAACCATGGTGATAAATCAACTTCAACATAAGTACCACAAGCAGCACAAACTCTTTGTTGACCAAAGCCTTCATCAAAAGCAACAAACATTTTATTGGCAGCAAAGTGATAAGTAGCAGAGACGATATTATAACCCATCCAAGCATTTGTGGATTTTTATAGATAATATTATAAAAAATTATAAAATAGATCATTATTGTTATATATCATAATCAAAATTATGTGATTGATTGATTTTTTTATTAATATTTTTTATTATAATGATTTCCGATTTTGCAGTAATAATATAAATTTAAATTAAAAATTTATTATATTTTATTTTATGTGAGGTAAAAAAATATCTATTTTTCTTGTAAAAAATATTTTTTTTATTAATTTTTTATAATTTTTTTTTTTTTCTATTTTTTTTTATATATTAACAATGGACAAGCTTCTGAGCATGATAATAGACCTCCCAGATGAATCTTTAGAGATAAATGAAGAGTTAAAAAATAGCAGTAATATTAGTGATAGGTAAGTGCAATACAATACAATAAATATAAATTAAAAGAATATTTATGTATTAATAAATTAATTAAAATAATGTTATTTGGTGTTTTCTCTTTTTAACTATTTATTATAGATTATTTTATAGAGTTTTGAATAATAAAGTAACAAGATTTGAAATTTATAAACATATTTTAAAGTTTATTGAACATAGGGTTGTAGTTTTTGATAAATCACGTTATGACCAGTATACAGATAAATCATATATAACAAAACTTAAGTGGTGTGGTGATCCACTACCAGATAAAAGTAAATTTCCGCCATTTTTGACACATTTATATTTGCACAGTTTTTCTAAAAAGTTAACTCAAACTTTACCAAATACAATTACTACACTTATATTCGGTGATGATTTTAACCAAATTATTCCAGACGGCAAATTACCAAATAGCCTCACATCACTTACATTCGGTCGTCATATTTCTAAATTTAACAAAAATTTTGGCATATTACCAAATAGTCTCACAAAACTCACATTCGGTTTTAGTTATAACCGAGAAATTAAATCTGGCTCATTACCAAATAGTATCACAACACTCACATTCGGTGATAAATTTAACCAAGTAATTCTACCCAACTCATTACCAAATAGTCTCACAACACTCACATTTGGTGATAAGTTTAACAAAGTAATTCTACCCGACACATTACTAAATAGTCTCACAACACTCACATTCGGTGAAGATTTTAACCAAGTAATTCTACCCAACTCATTACCAAATAGTCTTACAACACTCACATTCGATTTTTATTTTAACCAAGTAATTCCACCCGGCTCATTACCATATAGTATCACAACACTCATATTTGGTAATAATTTTAACCAAATAATTGCACACGGCACATTACCAAATAGTCTCACAACACTCACATTCGGTTTTCGGTTTAACCAAGTAATTCTACCCGGCTCATTACCAAATGGTCTCACAACACTCACATTTGGTTCTTATTTTAACCAAGTAATTCCACCCGGCACACTACCAAATAGTCTCACAACACTCACATTCAATAGTCTTTTTAACCAAGTATTTCTACCTGGCACATTACCAAACAGTCTCACAACACTCACAATTGGTGATAAAATTAAAAAAGTAATTCCACCCGACTCATTACCAAATAGTCTTAATATTAACAACAACAAGATAATTATCCCAAGAATTTTTTATTTAAATCTTTTCAAAAATACAAAAAAATAAAAAAATGTAAAAAAAATTAAAAAAGATTTTTTTATATATATTTGTTGTGGTTGATTTAATTAAAGTTGAATGCAACCATTGAGTTTACATTGAATCAAAGATACTCATTTCTTGGGGATACTCAAATATTTGAGTTTTATTATTATAAAAATAATGATTATTTTTATAAAAAATTTATTTTATTAGATTATTTCTAAAGGTTTTTTAAATGGAACTGTTTTTTGAAAAAAATATTCTTTTATTTTGTAAAAGCGGTTCAAATTTGCACAACATATGCAACAAATTTTTATACCAAAATTTTGTAAAGGCCAACCACTTTGCGCAAAGAGTAGAGTTCTAAAATTATCTCCATTTTTACCGAATATCGTTATCGTGTTCATTATCCATTTTATAAAAAAAAATTATCTCTTTTTTATCTTTTTTTTAAAAAAAAATTATTCACTTTTAACCACTTTTAAAATTGCCAATAGATCCAAAATAACAATTCAAATACACACATCATAATTTGTTTCTTTTCCGCCCTTCTTTTTTTATTTTTTAAAAAAAATTTTTCTATTTTTTTTTAACCATTTTATTTTTTATTAATTTTTTTGTAATTATAAATTTTAATAATGTAAACTATAGCATATCAAATCAATAATAATAATAATTTTAACAGTGCTGAAATATGTTTAAAAACTTTCTAGAGCAAGTAGGTAATTTAATATATTATTTTAAAACAGCAACAACAACAACAACAACAATCCCACACATATAGAAATTGGCATTGTTGAAGAAATATAGAAAATAGAAACAGAATTACTAACATCAATTAAATTAAATTTTTAATTTTCAAAAGACAGATTTACCAATTAAAACCATTCAATACCCTTACAGGATCTGCTGTCGTCGATATCATGAATGAAAGGATTTTGATCAATTATATAAAGATTTAGCCAATGTTTACCAAATGCACAGCGAACCTATTAAAAGAGATTTTATACTATTCACAAGTAATAATAAATACCAACCCAACCACCAACTATTGCTCAATAATAATAATCTCAAAATTAATAGCAATAACTATCATAAAAAGTCACAAAGTCGCAGAAACTCAAATTTTTTCAATCGCGGGTAAATCAGCAAAATTCAAATCAATTGCAAGTTCGTTTAAAAATTCAAAAGTGCAATATTTTCCTTGGCCCCAGCAACAGTGATAGAACCCAAATAGTTTAGATAAGGGTAATGAAAACTTCAACTTTCGCTGGTCAATCAGTAGCAGGTGTAACAACTTTAATTGGATTAACATCATTAAATTCACATGTCAATCAATTGGTGGATTAACTATTGCAAATTCAATAGCTTGGATTACAACAAGCAAAACAACTGGATTAACAGCTGATTTAACTGATGCAACTGGTCAATCAATAACACGACTAACAACTGCAAATACAATAGTAACTGGACAAAGTATAGGTGATTTTACAACTAAAGTATTTGCAGAAATCAGTTGGTGGACTAACTACTTCAAATTCAATAGCTGACATAACAACAAGTAAAACAACTGGATTAACTGCAAGCTCAATTGAAACAGGTCAGTTAATAACTGATTTAAAAACTTCAAATACAATTGGAGGTGGCCAATCAGTAGCAGGATTAACAACTTCAAATACAAATGTTGGTTTAATTTCGGGTGCAAATTCCGTTGCAGGTTTAACAACTGCAAATACAATCGGTGGTCGTCAATCAGTAGCATGTTTAATAACTTTAATTGGATTGACAAAGTGTAGGTGAATTAACTACAAATGGTGCATCGAGTATTTTCATTTCGGGTGTAAACTCTGTAGCAGGATTAACCACAGCAAATACAATTGGAGGTAGTCAATCAGTAGCAGGTGTAACAACTTCAAATTCAATTGGATTAACATCGTTGAATACAATAGGTCAATCCGTTGGGGGTCTTACAACTATATATTTAAATATTGAATTAAAGTCATCAATATAAAAATAATAAAAGAATATACTCAGTAAATCAATAATCAGTCTTCAGTTATTAAGAAAGATAATATTAAAACATTTTATAATAATTAATAGTTAAAATCAATATAGGGCTAAACCAAAGGCAGTCCTTGTCAAGTGCTGTTGCAGATCAAATAAATACACCCTTTACAATAATAATATAAAGTATAAATAAATAATATTAAAACATTTTAAAGTATAAATAAATAATAGGTATGTTTTTTATTTTATAATTTTATTTTATTTTAGAGTTCTAAAATTATCGTTATCTCCATTTTTACCGATTGTCGTTATCGTGTTCATTATCCATTTTTTAAAAAAAATATTATTTCTTTTTTATCTTTTTATCCATTTTTTAAAAAAAATTATTCATTTTTAACCACTTTTAAAATTGCCAATAGATCCAAAATAAAAGTTCAAATACGCACATCCTAATTTGTTTCTTTTACTCACACCTCTTCAATCATTTTTGGGTAACATTTCTTTCGAAATTACCAGACCATTTGATTTCATAAGCTTTAACTCGGTTAATGTGTCTATTGATCCCAAAAAATCCTTTAGATCTTCATTAGATACATCCTCTAGACTATTTGTAAACCTTAATGTATGTAAATTACTTTTGCACATTTAATTGCCTTTAAAATTTTATTATTGAATAGTAGTTCTATTATCTTTATTGAATCTGGTATTACTATTTCTATCTCTTTAAATGATAATATCTTTACTGATTCTAAATTTTGGGGGTAACTGATTTAGTTTGATTATATTTAATATAATTATTATTATTATCATTATTATCATTATCATTATCATGATCCTTTGTTACTATTTTTAAAATCCACTTGATTTAAATACTCTTTGTATTGATGATTTTTTAGAATTTTTAAATAAAAATCTTCTTGTTGCATAAAAAATATTTTATAATTTTAAAAAATATAATTTTTTTTTTTTTTTGGGAAAATTTTTTTTAATTTTTAATAAAATATTTATTTAAATTTTTTTTTTTTATATTAACAATGGATAAGCTTCTAAGAATGATAATAGACCTCCCAGATGAATCTTTCGAGATAAATGGGGAGTTAAAAAAAAGTAGTAATATTAGTGATAGGTAAGTACAATACAATAAATATAAATAATATATTAATTAAAAGCATGTTAATTTGGTGTTTTCTCTTTTCAACTATTTATTATAGATTATTATATAGAGTTTTGAATTATAAAGTAATAAGAGTTGAAATTTATAAATATATTTTAAAGTTTATTGAACATAGGGTTGTAGTTTTTGATAAATCACGTTATGACCAGTATACAGATAAATCATATATAACAAAACTTAAGTGGTGTAGTGATCCACTACCAGATACAAGTGAATTTCCACCATTTTTGACACATTTATATTTGCACAGTTTTTCTAAAAAGTTAACTCAAACTTTACCAAATACAATTACTACACTTATATTCGGTGATGATTTTAACCAAATAATTCAACACGGCACATTACCAAATAGTCTCACAACCCTTACATTCGGTTATGAGTTTAACCAAGTTGTTCTACCCAACTCATTACCAAATAGTCTCACAACACTCACATTCGGTGATAAATTTAACCAAGTAATTCTACCCGACACATTACCAAATAGTCTCACAACACTCACATTCGGTGAAGATTTTAACCAAGTATTTCTACCCAACTCATTACCAAATAGTCTTACAACACTCACATTTGATAATGGTTTTAACCAAGTAGTTCCACCCGGCTCATTACCAAATAGTCTCACAACACTCACATTCGGTTATGAGTTTAACCAAGTTGTTCTACCCAACTCATTACCAAATAGTCTTACAACACTCACATTTGATAATGATTTTAACCAAGTAATTCTACCCGGCTCATTACCAAATAGTCTCACAACACTCACATTTGGTTTTTCATTTAACCAAGTATTTCTACCCGACCAATTACCAAATAGTCTTACAACACTCACATTCGGTAGTAAGTTTAACAAAGTAATTCTAATCGGCTCATTACCAAATAGTCTCACAACACTCACATTCGGTGATTGTTTTAACCAAGTTGTTCCAGCGAGAACATTACCAAATAGTCTCACAACACTCACATTCGGTAATGGTTTTAACCAAGTAGTTCCACCCGGCACATTACCAAATAGTCTCACAACACTCACATTTGGTTCTTCATTTAACCAAGTAGTTCTACCCGACCAATTACCAAATAGTCTCACAACACTCACATTCGGTAATGGTTTTAACCAAGTTGTTCCAACGGGCACATTACCAAATAGTCTCACAACACTCACATTCGGTAATGGTTTTAACCAAGTAATTCTACCCGGATCTTTACCAAATAATCTCATAACACTCACATTTGGTTCTTCATTTAACCAAGTAGTTCCACCTAGCTCATTACCAAATAGTCTCACAACACTCACATTCAGTAATGGTTTTAACCAAGTAGTTCCACCCGGCACATTACCAAATAGTCTCACAACACTCACATTCGGTAATGGTTTTAACCAAGTAGTTCCACCCGGCTCATTACCAAATAGTCTTACAATACTCACACTTAATTCTTCATTTAACCAAGTAATTTCACCCGGCACATTACCAAATAGTCTCACAACACTCACATTCGGTAAACATTTTAAACAAGTATATCCACCTGGCACATTACCAAATAGTCTCACAACACTCAAATTCGGTAATAACTTTAACCAAGTAATTCCACCCGGCTCATTACTAAATAGTATCACAACACTCACATTCGGTGATGATTTTAACCAAGTATTTCTACCCAATTCATTACCAAATAGTCTCACAACACTCACATTCGGTTATCGTTTTAACCAAGTTGTTCCACTCGGCTCGTTACCAAATAGTATCACAACACTCAAATTTGGTTCCTATTTTAATCAAGTTGTTCTACCCGGATCATTATCAAATAGTCTCACAACACTCAAATTCGGTAATAACTTTAACCAAGTAATTCCACTCGGCTCATTACCAAATAGTCTCACAACACTCACATTCGGTGATGATTTTAACCAAGTAATTCTACCCAACTCATTACCAAATAGTCTCACAACACTCACATTCGGTGATCATTTTAACCAAATTATTCCACCTAGCTCATTACCAAATAATCTCACAACACTCACATTTGGTAATGGTTTTAACCAAGTAATTCCACCCGGCACATTACCAAATAGTCTCACAACACTCACATTCGATAATCGTTTTAACCAAGTATTTCTACCCGGCTCATTACCAAATGGTCTCACAACACTCAAATTTGGTATTAATTTTGACCAAGTATTTATACCCGGCACATTACCAAATAGTCTCACAACACTCACATTCGGTAATGGTTTTAACCAAGTAGTTCCACCCGGCACATTACCAAATAGTCTCACAACACTCACATTTGGTTCTTCATTTAACCAAGTAATTTTTCCCGGCTCATTGTCAAATAGTCTCACAACACTCACATTTGGTTTTTATTTTAACCAAGTAATTTCACCCGGCACATTACCAAATGGTCTGACAACACTCACATTTGGTTCTTATTTTAACCAAGTAGCTCCACCCGGCACATTACCAAATAGTCTCACAACACTCACATTTGGTTCTTATTTTAACCAAGTAATTTCACCCGGCACATTACCAAATGGTCTCACAACACTCACATTCAATAGTCTTTTTAACCAAGAATTTCTACCTGGCACATTACCAAATAGTCTCACAACACTCACAATTGGTGATAAACAAGTAATTCCACCCGGCTCATTACCAAATAGTCTTAATATTAACAACAAAAGGAACATAATAATAATAAGATAATGATGAGTCATTTGATGAAATTGATGATTTTGACTATCAAACTCCAATCTCTCCACCACAAACACCAAAGTCACAAGATCAATATAAACAAGAAGAGACACTTGATCAACAACAAGACTCATCACAAGAATGTGGTTGATTTAATTAAAGTTGAAAACAATAAAAAATTTATTGTTTTTTAAATAGAACTGGAAATAAAAACCGACAAGTGTTAACATCATATAAAATCTTACTTTATATAAATTAAGTTTTATCAAATAATTTTAGCACTGTCCAACAGCTTTTTAAAAGCTATTTCAATGTATATTAATTATACACCACAAAACACAGATCAAAAGAATTTAGATCGTATTAAAGATTTTTAATCTTCTATCTTCACTATCTCCAATCTTCACCAATTTGTCTTTCTAAAAGCCAATCCAACTACAAACATCATTCCACCATCTTCAAACATAAAACCAATCATATTAGATTTATCCAACGATTGGAAAGAAATGAAAACTAAGGATTTTCCCCATAATAATTTCAATACTGTTGAAGACATACTCTTGTCAAGCATCTCTATAATTCAAAAAAGTGTTAAAGATATTATTGAACGAGATAACTAACTATCCACTTATGAAAAAAATGGAAACAACATCAATCTCAGATTATATTACCCAAACCACCAAATATCCGATGAACATATAATTCATTTCAGCAAATACACAGATATAGAAAAGATCATTCGACAAAAAGAAAAAGAAAACTATCTTTATCTCGAATCTATATTCTTCATTGATATTTGTAAGGTACTAAGATCAAATAATTAAATAAAATAAAATTTATATGAAATGTTTATGTTTTTGTAAAATTCGAAAACTAAAAAGTTTTTATTATTTTTATTTTTTTATTTTTTTTAAAAATTCTTTTTTGATGAATTAAAATAATTGTTAATTATTATTAATTAATATGTAATGCATATGAATACATTACAAATATTGATTATTATTGAGTAATGATCCTTGTTCATTACATATTGTGTAATGTATTATCATCAAAATTCACTTAATTAATTAATTATAACTTAAATAGTCATTTAATCAAACAATTATAATAATTAATAATTTTAATAATTAAAAATAATTTAATTTTAAAAATAAAAAAATAAAAAAATAAAAAAAATAAAATAAAAAATTTTCGAATTTTTCGTTTTATTCAATTTTCTCATAAACTTAAAAATCATATAATTTATTATCTTTATTTTTATTGTGGAAATTTCTTAATTTATACTATTAATTTGAACTCCTACTTTATATATTCATTGTAATGTATTATCATCAAATACATTACATTACAATTAGTCTAGCCACATTGTCAAATCACCAGGAAGATTTGGGTATTATAAAGATTGACCCTTGGGCGAGTTGAACGCCCGACCCCCCGCTTTCTGCTGTTTTCTCACATTGGAGACGAGTACAATAACCACTATGCTAAAGAGTCACTAATACAATTAATTGTAGTATAACTGCCCCCCCGTCCGACCATATATATACTGTTATGATATCGCTATATTAACGCTATGACCCTAGACTTATTAAGAGTCACTAACTGCTGTTTACTAACTACTGTTTAGTAACTACCAATTCCAGTGTTTCCAAATAACTTAAGAATTAGCTTCTAGAACCAATCTCATTCAGTATAAATACCTTAAGTTCTCAGTCTAAAACTTCAGAGGTTTTTTTATTCTATATTATTAAATAAACTACAATTTCATTACACATATAATATTTGTTATTTGTTGTTTATTTGTTATACAATTGTAATGAAGCTCTATACAGCTTACAAATGATTAAGTATATATATGTAAAATTAGCGATATCATAACAGTATATATATGGTCGGACGGGGGGGCAGTTATACTACATAATTGTAATGAAACAGTATCAACATCTTTAAGGTGATTTTTATTATTAACAATCCTAAAATAGCAATAATTAATTTTATAATAATATTCTTAAAATAGTAATAATTAGTTTTATAATAATATCTCTTAAAATAGTAATAATTAGTTTTATAATAAATAACTCTTAAAATAGTAATAATCTTCCATAAATAATATATTTAGTTGAAAATGTCACATGTTTAACATATATATACATTCATGTCAACTTGTTTATGACACTATAAATACTTCAGTAATCATTCTTTATTAAACATTATTATCATCTTTTAACTTCTAATAACAATAACAATAAATAATATAAATAACTAAAATACTTAAATAAAGGTTTCTTTACTATATTTCTTTATTAACTTAATAGGGGGGTCATTTCATTACATTTGGCGACAGCTCGACAGAACCTAAAGGAATTAAAAGGGAAGGGATAAATATAGAAATAATAATTAGAGATATAAAAATAAAAAATAAAATTATAAAAAAAAGTTAATAAAATTAAATTTAAATTTTTACAAACACACACCCCAGTTTAAAAGTATATAATAGAATAAATATTTAAGAAATAATATAGTTTTGTGTTTTCTCGAGTTATAGTTTTATAAAATCTATAAAAAAATTATTAATAAAATAAAATAAAATTAAAATAATGTTTAAAAACACAACAGTTAATAAAGATAGTAGTAAACCTTTAAAAAATAATGGTAGTGAAAGTAGTAGCAGTAGTAATAAAATAACGCCAACAAATAATTTAAGTAATAATGATAATAATCCATCAGGTTCAAATATTAATACATCAGGTTTAGGAAGAAGTGATGAATTTAAAGAATATTTGTTAAAAGAGATAGCCATTCTCAAATTAGAAAACGATAGATATAGAAATCAAAGTTTTGGGTATGAAAGAAAGAGAAAACCATTGTCAGAAGATGCAAAATTTGTAGGAGGTTTTTCAATGGGTTTTGAAAAAACATGGGATTTATTCGAATTCCAATTTAGATATCATTTTGGTCCACGTTTTGATAATCCAGATTTAGTTTCAAGTTTAAAAGGTGACGCATTAATTTATTTACAAAGAACAGACCCAAATGGAAATAAGACTGCAGAAGAGAATTTAGTACAGTTAAGAAAACATTATCAAGATCTCCCTACTACATTATTACTCAAATTTAGTGAATTTACCAGAACGGGCAAATTCGAATCATTAGAACGTTTATTATTAGTCTTCGATACAGTTCGTACGAGAGCAAAATTATCAGATGATGCTGCAATAGTCACTCTTAAGACAGCCCTGGGTATGAATTTCTCAAAAGCTTTAATGGTAGATATTTCAGATGTAGAAGGTTATACATCATTTCAGAAATTTAGTGAAAAAATCGTTCGTCTCGAAAAGAATTATCAATTAACAATGGGTAAATCTCTTTATTTACGCCAAGATGAAATTCAAGGTGTATTTGGTGCCAGTGTTTCAAGTTCAGGATTAACTCCAGTAGTCAGTAATGAAGTAACAGTAATAGATGTCAATAGAAATAGTGGGGTTAAATGTTTTAATTGTGGTAATCCAAATCATTTAGCTAGAGAATGTAGAGAAAAGTATAATAATAGTAATAGAAGAGATAATTATCAGTCAAAGTATAACAATTATAATAATTATTCAAAATTCAATAGAAATAATCAGACATAATATAATAATTATAATAGATTCAGTAATAATAGATCAAATAACAATAACTATAGATCAAATAATGGTAACAATAGAAATGATTCAAAAAATAATTACAAAAGAAATAACACAAGTAATAATTCATCAACTCTTAGTAGTGTTAATAATATAAGTAAAAAGGATAACATATGTGCAAATCTTATGTTTAATGGCATTCCAGTCAGAGTTTTAATAGATACAGGTGCAAGTATTTCATGTATGAGACAGTCATTAGTTGAAAAGTTGCATATTCCAGTTCGTTCAAGTATAAAGAAAGTTACAAGTGCAAGCAATCATTCAATGGCATCTCAAGGTGAAGCCGTATGCCAAGTCAGAATGAGAAATAAAATAAAATCATATATTTATTTCGAAATTTTTAAAGATCAAGACATTTCAGCCTCTTGTATTCTGGGTTTAGATGCTTTAAGATCTCTCAAATTAGATCCAATAGTTACAAAAATGAAATTATATTCATTTAAGCATAATCAATATGTCCCAATGTATTCTTATACAGAACAATCAGTTCAAGCAATTGCAAAGACTCCAGCAAGTAATAAATCAAGTGAGAATGCTACATTCAATCAAGACTTATTTGACTCACTTATTATTCCACCAGATCAAATTTATAGTGTAAATCGTTTACACATCGAACCAACAGTCTTACATTTTGAGCCAGTTCAAGAACCATCATTAAATAAAGTCGACTCATCATTGGTAAATAATAAATTATTTAATAATCAATCTTCAAAAACAAATAATAATATTCAATCACATTCAAAAGATAGCAATAATAATAATTTTCAAACATCATCAGCTCATATTAATAATAGTATTATGGATAATCAACAATCACCATTAGATAATAATAATAATAATCATGATGATAATAACAAAAGTAAAAATAATAATAAAGTCGAAGATATTGTCAAATTTAATAAATATAGTATAGAATTATTAGAAAAGATCGATTTTAGTCCACAGCCATATCAAAAAGAAATAGTAACACCACCAAGACCAGATATAGATTTTAAAGTAGCTCAAGATAGTTCAATCATTTTAACACCTCAACAAGCAAAATTCGATCAATTAAAGAAAAATTATTCAGAGATTATTCCAGAAAAGTTAAAGAAAGAAAGTCTAGCAAAACAAATATATCATAGTATTCCATTCATAGACGGTACAGAAGAATCAAAACTTCATCAAGCACCATATCCAGTTTCAGCTGTTATTAATTATCATTTAATTGGTGACTTCCGTAAGAAAAATAAAGTAACGAAGAAGATGGGTACTCAAAGGTTAAAACAAAGCAAAGTTAGAACAAAATTAGTTAATAGGGTTATATTTTCAGCCATAGATTTATTCAAAGATTATTACCAAATTCCAATTAGTAAAAAAGACAAGTATAAAACAGCCAGTGTCATTTATCGAGGTTTTTATGTTCATTTGGTGAAGCCATTCAGTCTATGTAATGCTCCAGCTCTTTTTAAAGGGGGAGATATGTAATGAAACAGTATCAACATCTTTAAGGTGATTTTTATTATTAACAATCCTAAAATAGCAATAATTAATTTTATAATAATATTCTTAAAATAGTAATAATTAGTTTTATAATAATATCTCTTAAAATAGTAATAATTAGTTTTATAATAAATAACTCTTAAAATAGTAATAATCTTCCATAAATAATATATTTAGTTGAAAATGTCACATGAATCTGGATTAAAGAATCATTGTAAATTTAACGAAAAAGAAATCATTGAATTTACATCTTTTTGCACAAACCAAATATGCAACAGAAACCAATTAATACTAACAAAAATCATCAACAAAAACAAACCACTCAATCTATTAATAGAAAAACCACAAAACGACACAAACCTATAAATATTACCACTTTTTTATTTTTTCTTTTTCTTTCTTTTTCATTTTTCTTTTTTTTTTCATTTTTTTTTTTTTTAAAACAATATATCATTTTATTCTAAATAAAAGATATATATGGCATCTGTACATATCCATAGTCAACCGAAAGGATTAACAAGACTCTACTCCAATGCACTAAAGTTATACCGAGCTGTATACGTGCTACTTAACTGGATAGAAGGTTTCCTTTGCAAGGAAACACTAACCCAAGGTTCTCCGTACAAGATGAAACTTATGCTATGCTAAACTGCCAAGGGCTGTAATGTTTAACTCATGTTCTATTAGTCTAAGATGTGGGCATCTTTTATGAAGTAACACCACCTTAAAAGAAAGTTGGATCTCCGGAAATTTATTATTCTTGCAATAATAAATTAAGTTACCTCAGAATAATTCAATTTATTCAACCAAAATTGCAACGGTTTAATTTTGCTTCAAGTAATATCTGGTCAATTCAGATACTTAGGTCTTATAATTAATAAAATAATAAAATGGAATAAACATTCCAATATATTTTTAAAAAGCAAAAAAAAAGCTAAAGAGTCACTACGAATTAACCTTTGTAATTAAGTGCACTATGCACAAATAAGGCGTGAGGTGACCAACTTAGCAAAAGGGAAATTTCTTAATTTATACTATTAATTTGAACTCCTACTTTATATATTCAAACCTTATGGGGGTCATATACTACACCTTGTAATGAAAAGGTCCCCACATCTTTAAGGTGATTTTTATTATTTACAACCCTAAAAATAGCAAAAATTAGTTTTATAATAATATCTCTTAAAATATTAATAATTAGTTTTACAATAAATATCTCCTAAAATAGTAATAATTTTCCATAAATAATATATTAAGTTGAAACTGTCACATGTTTAACAAATATATACATTCATGTCAACTTGTTTATGACACTATAAATACTTCAGTAATAATTCTTTATTATTCATTCTTGTCATTTATTAGCTTCTAATAACAATAACAATTAATAACATAAATAACTAAAATACTTAAATAAAGGTTTCTAAACTATATTTCTTTATTAAACTTCATAGGGGGTCTTATTATTACAACCTTTGCACTCTTCTTATTCAAGGGTTAAAGCAAAAATTTGTGGTTAGCATTTAATACAAAAATATATAGCTTACAAATGATTAAGAATAACAAATAAATAACAAATAAACAACAAATAAATAATTATATTATGTGTAATGAAATTGTAGTTTATTAAATAATTATACATTTTTTTTTATTTGTAATCAGCACTTTTTTTTTAAAATTTTGAATTTTATTAATTATAATATTTTTATTTTCACAAAACCATATTTATAAATCTAATATTATGGTGTTATTTTTCACTTGTGTTGATGCTTATATTAGCACATCTTTATTTCGTGAATCACCATTAATCTAAAAATTTAATATAATGTTATTTCATTTTAATTAATAAAAACCTCAACCAATACAAAAGGTCGAATTATTGGTTTTTTTTTACAATATTTCGTTTTTTTTTTATTTTAATCTGACCTCAGGTGGTCTACATTCAAAATAATAAAATAAAAATAATAATGCTTTTAACAAATAATATACAGATAATACAGTCACAGGTAATACAGATACAAGTAATACATGTAATACAGGTGACAGCCAATACAGGTACAGGTAATACAGATACAGGTAATACAGATAATAAAGGTAATACGGATAACGCAGGTAGCAGAGGATACATATAATACAGGTATAGGTAAAAGAAACTGGTAGCAGCAGTATATTCAACTGAAACAGGTACAGATTCAAGTAACAATAAATTACTATTAAAAAAAAAGTGAAGATTACAGCGCTGATGAGACCTATTGATAAGAAACAGATGAAACGATCTTCGGATTATTTCTTAAATCTGATTGCTAGCGGTAGCCTAGCTGAATCTAACAGAAACAGATACAGGAACAGGGTCAGGTAATACAGATGCAGGTAATATAGGTACAGGTAATACAGGTAATACAGGTAGCAGAAGATACAGGTAACACAGTTATAACATGAGCAGCAGGCATTACATGTAGCAGAAACAGTTACAGGTCAGGTAATACAGATTGAGGCAATACAAGTACAGAAGTAAGTAACAAATAACAAGAAACAAGTTCATTTAAAAAAAGTGAAGATTCCAGCGCTGATGAGACCTATTAATATCTGTTTGGCAGCAGATGAAATGATATTCGGGTTATTTCTTATATCTGTTTGCTAAAGGAAGCTGAGCTGAAACTTTCCTTTTTTTATTTTTATGATTCAGGTATTCCACTACAGAATGATTATTTAGCCACTCATCCAAATCAAAATACAAATTTCAGTGCATTAAATATATAACAGGTAACAGCAACAGGTACAGGTAACATGTAGCAGGTGTAGGTAACAGTTAGCAGGTGCATGTAGAATATACAGGTACAGTGCCCGGAATAAATATGTGGTCCCCTTCTTTATTCAGATGGAAATGACAATGATTGAATTGCTAGTTATTATTTTATATTTGTATAAGAGCCCCTAAAATAAATCATATTACAAGATATTGGATAATTTGCTAAAAATTAAAATAAAAAAAAATTATAATTTTTTCAGTTTTTTCATTTTAAAAATTTTGTTTATATTTTTTTTTACAATTGGATATAATTGATTATTATTAAATAATATATATTATCCTCCAAGTGCTTTATATTGCATCTATTCGTTCAGGAAGTGATTCATATACTAGGCCATTAAGACATTTTAAAAAGGTACACAAAGTTCTCCAAACAGACAAATTTATTTATCTGTATTTGTATAGGTGTATAGGTATATAGAGCGAAGGAGAACACCAAATAGCAATGAATGAGACTATTTGCAACAGGTTTTATGTTTAATTTAGTGATAATGAGTTTGTATTTTTTCTTATGCAAAAAAGTAGGTTAAATCTTTACGGAAAAATAAATGATTTTTTTTTTTTTATTATTTTTATTTTTTTTTATTTTTATTGAATATAAAAATATCCAAATAGTAAAACTATATTTAAAGATTAAATTTAAAAAATTTATTATTAAATGGGATAAGTCATAATATTCTATAAATTAAACGATATCTTTAACTAGTTTTAATAAGAAGTTCACTCCATTTCCAAGTTATTAAATTCAAAAGTTTTAAATGTAAGCATTATCTCACAAAAAAAAAAAAATAGCTAAAGATATTAATGTTTATAAATTCTTTTATTATTTATAAAAAAAAAAAGATTTAATAGATTTTATATAAAAAAAATATATTTATCTATTATTTAATTTTTACACATTTTATTAATTTTTTTAAAAAAATTTTTTATTTTTTTATTTTTTTATTTTTTTATTTTTTTTAAAAATATCTTTATTTTTTATAACAAAATAATAGAAAAACAGCAAATAAATAATCAAATAAAATATAAAATACAAAACATCAATAACAGTACTACTATTACTAGAATATATATATATATACAATTAAATAATGATTAAACAACAATATCGATTAAGTAAACCATTCAATTATGAAAATGACTATAAATATTCAATTCAAAATCCAATATCATTTTGGGATGAAGTAGCAAAACAAAATATTATATGGTAAATAAAAATAACAATAATATAAATAACTATTAGAAATTCTAATATTTAAAAACAATTTTATTTTTTTTTTCAGGGATAAACCATATGAAACAACATATGAAAGTAAAGAAAATAATAATGATGAATGGTTTAAAGGTGGACTAATAAACACATGTTATAATGTATTAGATAAACATATTGCTAATGGCAAAGGTGAAGAGACTGCATTTATTCACGAAATACCATTAAAAGGAATAACAAAAAAAATTACATATCAAGAACTATATGAAAAAGTTTGCAAATTTTCAAGCGGACTTAAAGAGTTGGGTGTAAAGAAAGGTGATGTCATTTTGGTTTATCTTCCAAACTCGATAGAAAATGTTATAACAATGTTATCGTGTGCAAGAATTGGGGCTATACACAATGTTGTATTTGGTGGGCAAATGTCAGGTAATTTAGTTGATAATATAGAAGAGTGCAAACCAAAAATAATAATAACTACCATTGGTGGATATGTATTTGAAAGTGTGGTAAACTTTTTATCGACCATTAAAGAAACATTAAAAATATCAAAACATAAAATATCAAGAGTAGTCGTTTTAAATAGACCTGAATTCGAAAATGATTTTAAAGAAGAACTAAATGATCAAATTTTTATAGATTGGGACAAACTAATTGAAAACGTAAAACCATTGAAAGAATATGAAGTTGTAGAATCACACCATCCACTCTATATTTTGTACACATCTGGATCTACAAGTAAACCAAAAGGAATTGTTAGAGAAACTGGTGACCATTTAGTAATGTTAGATTATTTAATTAGAAATTTCAATGGTTTAAAAGAAGGTGACACTTATCTCACATTGGCATCCCTAGGGTGGGTATCTGGTGTTACCTGGTCAACTTATGGATGCTTATTAGTTGGTGCTAGATCCATTTTAGTAGAAGGCTCATTTAAAAACCAAGTCAAAGGGTTTTGGGGTTTGGTCGAAAAATATAATGTTACTCAACTCATGACAACACCATCAAAAATTAGAGGTTTTATTAAAGATGATAAAAATGGTGAAATTTCATCACAATTCAACCTATCATCATTAAAAAAAGTTACAATTGCATCCGAAAAATCACAACTAGAAACATTAAAATATTTAGAAGAAGTTGTTATAAAAAGACCTATCATATGCAATGAATATGGCCAAACCGAAACTGGTATACTATCAATTGGATACCCATCACTCCAAATACCAATCTGTAAAGACTCTATTGGCAAACCAATTCCAGGATACCAAATTAAAATTGTAAGCAAAAATGAAAAGGGTCAAGTTATCGAACTAGGTCCTAATGAAATTGGAGAAATAGTAATCAAGCTACCATTGCCTCCAGCATGCGTTAAAAGACTCTATGGTGACAATGAATCTAAATCACTTTATAATAGTCATTATATTAACGAGTACCCAGGATACTTTAACAGTGGCGATTCTGGATATATTGATAACGAAGGCTACATGTTTTATACATCACGTTCTGATGACTCCATCTCATTTTCAGCGTATACAATAAATTGTGGTGTAATTGAAAGTGAAATTTTCAAGCATCAAAACATCAATGACTGTTGTGTCATTGGCATCGATGACGAAATCCATTTCCAAAAGCCACTTGCATTATTAATTTTACAAAATGACATTAAGAATGATGAAGAATTGGAAAAGTTAAAATCAGAAATCAATAACCTTGTTCAAAGTAAATTATCAATTTGTTTGGAAATCGAGAACTTAATTATAGTAAAAAGATTACCAAAAACTAGAACAACAAAAAAAATTAAAAATGTTATCACAAAAATATTTAATGGTAAATATATCTTAGCAATATTTTCAAATTCAGATGTTATTCATAAATTTTAATTTTTTTTTTTTTATTTTAGGTAAAGACTATCAAATACCAGCATCAATCGAAGATGAATCGGTTATCACTGAATTAGTCGAAGAATATAATAAATATAAAAAAACCTTAAATAAAAATTTATTATAAACATAGTTTTTTTTATTCAACAAAAAATTAAATTCCACTCGTGTGGGTGTCGATTTTTAAAGATTTATTTTTGTTTTTTTTTGGTTCTTATTTCTTTTTTTAATTCATTTTTTAAAGAAGATTATAAACCAAAAAAACATTTGAACGAAATAATTTATTATGAACTTTTCATATAAATAAAAAAACTCATCCTGTAATCACTCTTATTATTAATTTTTTAAAATAATCATTGAAAATAATAAATAATGATAATTTTTATTATTTTTGAAAAAAAAAAAATATTTTTTATAAGTTTATCTATTAAGATTTTTTGTTATTAATAATTCTTTTATTAAAAAAAAATTTTAATCTAATATTTTTGAGTTATAAATACTGATTTTTTTAAAAAAAAATAATTTTAATTTTTAATTTTTAAAAATTATCTTATATTTATTTTTATATATAAATAAATTTTATAAAAAAATAATAGAAAAACAGCAAATAAAAATTAAAAAACATATAATTAAAAAATATATATTTAAAACTTCAATAACAGCACTTCATTTACTTGAATATATTTTATAATTCAATAAATAAAAAATTAAATAGCATATAATTAAATAATATATTTAAAACTTCAATAACAGCACTTCTTTTACTAGAGTATATATAATTTAATAATGATTAAACAACAATATCATTTAAGTAAACCATTCAATTATGAAAATGACTATAAATATGCAATTCAAGATCCAATATCATTTTGGGATGAAGTAGCAAAACAAAATATTATTTGGTAAAAAAATTAACATTAAAATAATTTAATTTATTTAAATAAATAACTATTAGAAATACTAATATTTAAAACAATTTTTTTACAGGGATAAACCATATGAAACAACATATGAAAGTAAAGAAAATAATAATGATGAATGGTTTAAAGGTGGACTATTAAACACATGCTATAATGTATTGGATAAACATATTGCTAATGGCAAAGGTGAAGAGACTGCATTTATTCACGAAATACCATTAAAAGGAATAACAAAAAAAATTACATATCAAGAACTATATGAAAAAGTTTGCAAATTTTCAAGTGGACTTAAAGAGTTGGGTGTAAAGA